CATGTGTCTCCTTCTATCACCATCCCCAAGTGCAGCATTATGTTTTAATTTGAATTTTCCAAAGTACTTCAGACACTCTTGAACGTGGACTGTCATAAAAGGCTGGAAATTGATCCTCACATTTTATTAACTATTATTTGCCATTTGGAATTCACAGGGCAGCCAGCCACCGCTGTTTGAAGTTGGCAAATGGCAATAAAACTCATTACAATCCCATTTCTGGGGTGTTAGCATATTAGCAATGACGGGGGGAGCATTTTTTTAAAGAGATCAACCACGATCAGGTATTCTCTGTGGATGAGTGCTGACTCCTTTGAGAACCAGAGCCTGCTCTCTCCCGAAGCGGGTGTGTGTGTCTCTTAGCTGCATCAGTGGGTGTGCAGCTGTAGAACAGTGCCTGTTAAATCCTATCTGCCTCTACCTCTGCTCCTTCTCCTCAGAGGAGTGGTGCTGCCACTGGGCGAAGTCCCTCTGGGACAGTTCCCAGCTCTGTTAACTCCCCATCTGATTGCAGCCTGGAATTACAGGAGACCGTTCTCCCCAGAACAGTCAGTCTCCTTCCCCCTTGACCTCAAGCAGAGCCCCTTATGGGTGAGGGGCTGGGTTTGCTGCAGCCTTCCTTATTTCTCTGACCTTTGGCCTTTGCTGAATTTGACCCTGCCTGTACCTGGTGCCTGTCACACAGACTCTTCCTTCCTTATGCTGGCATGAAGGTGGGGAAGGAGAGCGGGCAGCTGCACCAGAATGATACTAATGCACGAGGCCTATGCGCCCCAGTTGTCAGCGAGTGACTTGCCCACGGAAGCCCACAGAACACCCTGGCATGCTTGGCCGCTGTCACCGAGTGCAGAGGACCCAGGGGCAGCCAGGAAGGAGGGTCTAAGGGGCTCAGCCCCACTTTTGGCTTCTTCAGAAACACACTTTCTGCTCAATGCCTTTTCCCAGTGCATTCTGGGTCACGGTGGATGGGGGGCATGGGAGGGAGGAGCTGCCCTATGGAGCTCATGCTGGGTAGGGCAGGTGATTTCCAGCCCCTGAGAGAGCTCCTCCCGCCGCTGAAAACATGGAGCAGGGCTGAGGTCAGAGCAGGCTGCTTTCTTCTACCCCTCTGGGGCAAAGGATTTGCAGCGAGGTGTCTGAGCAGACTCAAGGCAGAGCGCCATCCCGCCCCTTGCTGGAGCTGAATGGGAGAGCACCAGTACCACCCTTTGAACTGGAAGATGCCAGGCAGCAAGTGAACCAGGTAGGAAGTGGGGCCTCTGGGGGATGCTTTTGGCCCATGGAGGAGGGCTCTTCTGCCCAGCACAGGGTTTATAGTCCACAGAGGGTCCTCCCGGCTCGGGGGGGGGCCTTGGTGTTCAGGGCTTGAGGAAGGGGATTGAACAGTCTTTTCTCAGGGGGTGTTTTCCCTTTGTGGTCTAGTGGGTTGAGAAAGCAGCTTCAGGAGGCAAGCAGGGAGCTGCAATGGGGTTAGCTCAGACTGGATCTCCTTTGCTGTTTGGGGGAATTGCTGCTTTTTTGGGGGTGGACCAGAAGTGGGTTTATGTGTGGGGTGGGGGCGGAATTGCAGCTGGGTTTATGTGGTGGGTAAGGAACGGTTTCATGCTGTGGGTTGTAAATGGTTTTATTGTGGGGGATCAGCCGGGATTTCACTTGGTGTGTGTTGGAGGCACAGCTGTTTTGCTGGTCAGCAATTTAGGCCTTTACTCAGAAATGATTTCATGTGTGGGTGGGGGGTGTTAAGTGCTTTTTGTTTGGGGGGAGTTTGTGGGAAGGTGTCCGAAGTGATTTTGTGGGGAAGGTTATGTGGGACAGGTTTGGGCAGTGGTATTTGTGAGGATGACAGAAATGACTATGGGGTGGGGGTGAGAAATGGTTTTTAATTTGGTGGCGTCACAACTGTTTCATTGGAGGGGGTGGGGTCCACCATTGGTTGATTGATTGTTTGTTTAGTTGGTCAGAAATTATATTGTTTGGTGGAGTCTGAACTGATTTTGTGTCTGAGTGTGTGGTCACTCTTCAGTCTATCGGACAGGGAGAGCGCCTCTGGGCGCTAATATAATCCAAACAAAAAATGCTGGGTAAAAATAAAATCAATTAAGCGAGTCTGTTTTGCTTTTTAACTGCACGTTGTGTGAGCGACTACGTTTGAGCACCAACCAGCCTCAGAGGTTTCTGTCACGATGGGATGCAACCCCCATCCCCATCCCTGGCTTTGGACTCCAGCCACCACTGGGAGTAATGTAGAAAGATAAGAGGATGATCTGTGACACTAGAACATTGTGCCTGGGGCTGTGTTCTCAACCTGTGAATAGTGGGAGATGCAGAGGTCCAGTGGTGGGACTGCCTGTTTCTTCTCTGGTGATAGATATATTTTGGTATCTGAGTCTGGCAGCACCACAGGGATGAACCAGGAAGGATCTAGCATCGAGACACGAAGATGACTCAGATTGATTTTATATCATAAATGTCTCTTTGATTTACGTAAACAGCTAAAATACCAACCAGACTCCAGGGCAGTGACTGGGATTCTGGACAACTAACCTGATCCTCAGTAAAGTGCTTTTCTGAATCCGTCACTAGCCTTGCTTTGAGCAAGTCACTCCCTGTAACATTAGTTCACCCATAGGTGCTGGAACTAGGGGTGCTGGGGGTGCTGCCGCACCCCCGGGCTTGAAGTGAATATTCAGGGTTTACAGTTTGGTTCAATGGCTCTCAGCACCCCCACTGTACAAATTGTTCCAATGCCCCTGAGTTCACCTGCTCAATTTCTTATTTCTATCCTGACCACCAGCCAGGCACACCACATGGCAGCACCTCCAGCATCTGGTAACCAGGCCAGATCAACACGGCTCTCGGTTGTGTCATCATGGAGTGTGCTGCTAGGAACTCATTCCGGAATTTGGCTTTAGCAGTGGATTGACAGAAGATTTCAGCAGCTGCTAACCAATCCATCCAACGCTGCGGAGCAAGTACCCCAAACATTCTTCGCTACGCCCAGAGTCCAGTGGCCTGGCCGAATGTGCGCCTTCTATTTTAAACACGTTGCTGGGGCATGTGGAAGCGAAGGACCTTTCTTAGAGAAAAGCACTGATGCGATGATTGGGCATGTGTATGTTAAACGTGGGGACAGGCAGGCTGTTCATTGCTCCATTACTGATGGGATTTTTACACTTCAGACAGAACCCATTGGAAACTCTCTTCAGTGCTGGGGTAAGTGAAAATACAAAGTTACTGGAGATGGGGGGGGGCAAACTTACCCCTGGTGTAACACCACTGAAGCTGATAGCGTTTCTTCAACCCCGTTAACTAGAATGAGATGTAAACCTGATGGCCTGAGTGACTAGGGATCATTAGAGGAGTGAAGTTCTGGAACAGCCTTCCAAGGGGAGCAGTGGGGGCAAAAGACATATCTGGCTTTAAGACTAAGCTTGATAAGTTTATGGAGGGGATGGTATGATGGGATAGCCTGATTTGGGCAATTAATTGATCTTTGACTATTAGCAGTAAATATGCCCAATGGCCTGTGATGAGACACTAGAGAGGGTGGGATCTGAATTACTACAGAGAATTTTTTCCTGGGTGCTGGCTGGTGAGTCTTGCCACCTGCTCAGGGTTTAGCTGATTGCCATATTTGGGGTCGGGAAGGAATTTTCCTCCAGGGCAGATTGGCAGAGGCCCTGGAGGTTTTTCGCCCCCCTCTGCAGCGTGGGGCACGGGTCACTTGCTGGAGGATTCTCTGCACCTTGAGGTCTTTAAACCACAATTTGAGGACTTCAATAGCTCAGACATAGGTTAGGGATTTGGGTGGGTGAGATTCTGTGGCCTGCATTGTGCAGGAGGTCAGACTAGATGATCGGAATGGTCCCTTCTGACCTTAAAGTCTATGAGTCTATTAGAGATCCCATAATGCTCTTTGGATTGTCCTAGCCAGCTCAATTTCTGGAATTATATTCCTCAGCCACAGTATTCTCTTTTATCTCTTTGGGTAGCGCTGCTGTGCACTGTTACAGGTGGCTGCGTTTCAGTGACAGATGTAGCGATCCCTATGCATCGTTCATGGATCAGTTTTTACAGTGCATTGGGATCCTCCCGGCTGAAAGGGTCGGTATGAATAAAAGATTAGCATTGTTCATTCTCCCTGTGGCTTGTCTGAGCCTTCCCATCAGGGTCTGAGGAACCGTGGAACAAAGCACTCAAAGCCAGCTGAAATAAAGTGCAGGGACGTTGTTATTTTTTAGCACAAATTAGAGGTTTCTGTGCTAAATGGAAGGCACAGTAATCTCCGGAGCTCCGTCAAACCGGTGTCCCGACCAAGAAGTGAATGGCTGTGTCTGTGTGAGCTCACAGACTCCCTAGGAATCTGTCGCACAAGGTAATGTTTCTGTTGCCCCCAGGTGTTTCTAATGGAGCCGATTAGAACTAGTCAGAGAAAAGGGTATTTTTCAGGGAGCGGGGTTGTGGGAAATTTGGACTTTTTTTCCTTTGGTCAAAAAAACTCAAAACCTGTTAAGTTTGGGTTTTCAACCAAAATCTTTTTGCATTTTTCATGATATGTCAAAATTTTCTATGGAAAGCAGAGACTGCTGTGAAAGCATGAATGTTCTGTCAGCACCTGTCAAAACAGCCTGGAAGGAAAACTCTTGGCCAGACTTGGATCACATGCTGACACTGCTGCCTTTGGTTTGTTTCCTTGCTTGTGCGTGGCCTCTGTGTTCTGCAGTGAGGTGCCCAGCAGTGAGGCTGTAGTCCAAGTGCTAATGCACAATCAGACAAGGGAATTATTACACTGTGGGGTTTTTGGTGGCATGTACGAAGATAGTGGCTTGGGGGTGGCAGGGACTTATTTATTTTTGGCAATGGTATGGTGGCTATTTAGTGTCCCAAAGACATTCCCCGCCACTTCATCATAAAGTTATGGTGGCATAGAGCAATTCTGGGGTCTGTGTGACTTAAATCTTTCTTGTTGCCTTTCTAGTGCTGTTGCAACGAAGATTCTATAACCACAATTCAGGAAACATCAATTTTATTTGGGGGCAGGGAGAGCAAAATGGGCAATTTCATACCTGTTGTAAGCCTAGTTATCCCTTTGCTCTTCCCGAGCAACAGGTGACGTGCAGGTGAATCAGATCTGACTGAATCGATAGCAAAGCTTTTTCACTTGGGTACTTGTGTTGGTTTTTGAACCCACGTGAAAATAACCTCATGAAACCAATGACTGCATCTGGGGAAAAAACTTTGATTTTTTTTCTCTTTCATGCCTATCAAGGAAGACAAGATGATGTTTTTAATCAAGGTAGGGGTATGTGTGTGTGTGTGTGTGTGTGTACACACACACATACATAGAGAGAGGTGCTTTTGTTGCATTGAAAGTCAATGGGACTTACACTTATAAGTAATTTAGGCTCATTTGAAAATCCCACCCATAATACATTACAGACATACTCACACTTGTAAACTTGCATTTAAAACAGTGATACTCAGACTTCAGTGGTTCAGGAGTCAAATTAGCGATCACCATTACCCAAAAGAGCCAAGGTCGTGTGAATTCATTATTTCATTTACTATATAGTCAGACTTAAACAGTGCGATGGGAAATATTTAGTTTATTATTCTCACCAAGTAGTATTATTTTATAAACTACAATTGGTTAATAACATAGTAAAAGCCTCCTGATTGGTTAATCATTCAGTCACACAGTGTTTTAATAGCAGGTGCTGGAAAGAGCCGCAGGAAACCCTTTAAAGAGCCACTTGCGGCTCACGAGCCTCAGACTGAGTATCACTGATTTAAAACATATTTTCGTGTCTTCCTGGATGGCCAGGCACAAAAGCAGATTTCTGCTTTACATGCTGGAGTAACCAGATCAGAACATCTCCAGGGATCAAAGGAAAATCTCATGCAAAATGTGTTCTGTGGTGGCACACCCCATTGCACACTGGAACATGTTGCGTATGCTAGTACGACAAGTGGATAATTTCCTTACTGCTGGTCAGACTTGTTGAACCATCTTGGCTCTGTCTTCCTTATTCCCTTCTCCTCAGTCCCACAATCTGTTAAATTCAAGCCCAACGAACCATTGCCGTTTGGGGCCACTGGGGACCAAGGCCCAGATTCTTCACTGAAATCAATGGAAGTTAGAATCCTAAATACCTTAAGGATATGAGCCCAACCCCTTTTCCTCTAGTCCAAAGTATCTCTTGAATTAAATACCAAACGAGAAAAATTGGCTTCCATAAGCTCCTCTCAGCATGGGAACAGTATTCACACCTGTGTTCTAAATATCTTATCAAGAGCCTCCAGGTCTGGTCTCATTTAAAGGTAACATGCTCTCTTCGAGCCACTGGCATTTCCAAAGGACTTGTCATCATTGTGGATTATCTTCTGACTTTTAGATTCAGCCTCACTGTGGTGGTTTCCACTTCCCATTGTGATGGTTTTTCATCAGAGGAGCAAAGTCTCACTGACGATTGTCTTCTTCTGAAGAGGATTCAGTTTTCTGGTGATGGGTTTTCCTTTCTGAAGGGTTCACCCTTGGCTCCAAAGAGAAGGGAAAGGGTTCACTACCTCAGCTCATTCAAGGGAATCACATGATTTAGCAAACACTACAATTTTGTGTATATTCACTTTAAGGTGGGGCTTTCAGAGGCACCTGTCTCCTTCGGGAGCTTCTGGAAAATCCCACCATCCAATAAAAATATTGAATTCCCTTTGGCTGAGTTTGCACCCCTTTCTGCTTTCACTCTGGGGTGACCTTGTGGCCAGTGCAAATAGTCAGTGAATACTTGAGAATACTTAGGGAAGACAGATCCCAAGTCATAGAGGTGAGTGTTCACACAGGAAACTTCAGTGCTAGGACTTGTGCTCATCCAATCATGGAACAGTAACTATTTCATGGGTCCAAATGAAACCAGTTGGATTTGGGGTCTCCAACGCTCAGCTAGCTGTTCACAAACATCCTTGAGATGCACAGAATTATCTGGCGAATCATGGAGAAATTAGAGAAAATGCTGAGATGTTTGTGGATAGTTCACTGAATACATTTGCTAGGAATCACTTGGCCCTAGCTGTTTCCAGCTGGGGGAGACTATGTCAGGGCAATTAAGCAAGGTTTTCAAACCTCATTGCATTCTAAAAAGGACAGTATGTTGCAGAACAAGGTGGGCTGCACCGTTCTTGTTGCAGACAGCTTATATATGGAGCTGTGTCCTCTGCCGACCTCTCGTTGTTTTGGCTACATTCTTTGCACTTCACTTAAAAGTGGAGCAGGGGATCAGCGTGACTATAGTAAAACCTCCTCCCTTCCGGCTCAGCACATGGGTGCTAGTCTCCATCAGCCCTGTAAGCCAGTTGCAACACAGTCAGTATGATTCTCTTGTACTCTTTCCTAAAGTTATGGTTCATCGCCCCATAAACCACAGCGTTCAGACAGCTGTTGAAGTAGGCCAAGAAGTAGCTAGCCGTGAAGAGCCACTCGGGTATCAAGGAACCCAGTGTGGGCTGGACCGCCACCGCGAAGCCGATGAAGTTTAACGGCGCCCAGCACACAGCGAAGAGCACAAAGACCATGAACATGGTCAGGAAGTTCCAGAAATCGTGGGACTTGATTTTGGGCTGCGTGTCCGGCTTGACCCTGCGGCGCACCTGGATGACCAGCACCCAAATCCGCAGGTAGCAGTAGGTGACGATGGTGATGGGGAGGAAGAAATGGATGAGCACCACGGCGATGGTGTAGAGGGCGCTGACGGACTGGGCAAAGGTGCAGGAGTACACCCGCGGGTCGTACTGCAGGGACTCCACAAAGAGGTTCGGCATGATGGCCAGCAAGGTGAGTGCCCAAACCAGCCCCACGTAGCACACGGTGTTGGGGCCCGAGAAAAGCTTGTCGTACTTCAAGCTGTGGCAGATGTAGCAGTAGCGGTTGATGGCGATGCCAGTGATGTTGAAGATGGAGCCGATAACGCTGATGCCCATCAGGAAGCCGCTGACCTGGCAATGGAGGTACCCCATCACCCAGCCGTCATGGAAAATAGCCATCAGGACCAGGGGATAAGGGTAAAAAGCCACTAGTAAGTCTGCAATGGCCAAGCTCACCACAAAGGCGTTGCCTGGGGAGGGTAACAAAAAACAACAACAAACAGTTAGAACCTATGATCGGAATGCAGCAGCAGCCCGGAAAACGCCTTCTCCTTGCTAAACAGATCAGCTTCCTGTGTCTACTTCAAACTGCACCTGCCAGTCGTACTGTCTTTTTACTTCTCTTTGCATGGCAGAGGTGGCTCTGAGAGCTGGATTCTGTTCTGGCTCATGCATCGTCTACAGAGTAGCGTAACTTATTACCACTTTAACTACCACGACTGCTTCCTTTCATCGCTACCTTGTACCCCCACCCATTTGTCTGTTTATCCCCTGGTTGCATCTTGTCACAATCTTAGATTTTTAGCTCCCGGGGGCAGACACTGTCTGTTTTATTCATTTTGTACAGCACCTAGCACAACGGGACCTTGATTGCCTTTAGGTGCTACCAGAATTCAAATAACATTGAGCATCCATCTAATATATTATCCTCATACACCCTTGGGAGGCAGGGCAGTGCTATTAGTACAGAGGGGGAGCGGAGGAACAGACGAGCTAGTGGCTAGATTTGTTTTCTAAAGTGAAACCCACTTTTGAAAATTGGGCTGTGATTGACTGGCCCAAAATCGCACAGAATGTCTGTGGTGGAGCCAGGCATCGAACCTGGGTCTCCCGCAGTGTCAGGCCCTAACCACTGGGCCAAATTTGAGGTGCACCTCTATCACTTGAGCAAGGAAAGCCAAATGGGTGCTTTGCAGTTCTTTGGTCCACAATCGTGTGCTTGCTCTCTGCTGGGCTGATTTGGGAATTAAAGCCCCAAAGGGGATAATGCTGCCCAGAGCTATTTGCGCCTCCTCTTCCACAAGAGGACTAGTCCCGAGCCAGTGGCAGTGTCTTTTCACGCAGGGATCTTTTTTCTTCCTCACCGTGACAGGAGAGAGGTGGGGTTTTCCCTCTCTTTGGAGCAGCTCTAGGGAACTGGTGCACTGGGTGGGGTAGGGAATTCGGTGGTAGGTGAAAGGCATAGCCCAGCTGCCTGGAGAATACAATGTCTCGGCTGCAGGACACCGGTCAGATGGAACCGTGATATGGAAGAGGCAGAGAGCTTGCAATATTCTGTACCCGACCTGACCCCTCTACTGCTTGCAATAAAAGAAAAGAGCAGGCGAGGGGTTTAAATCACTGCTCTCCCGGGAGACAATACAGCTGAGACGTGTTCTCCTGGGTGGCACTTGCAGCTAAAGCCAAAGCAGATGGTAACCACTCAGTTTAATGCAATGGGTCCATTCAAGCTGGCTGCACTACGTTGCCCTCGCCACGGCTCTGCTCCAGCAGGGATGTGGAATTGGCCACTCCATGCACAGGGGAGTTGATTATACTAAGATGCTTGGAATGGGCTCTGGATTTTGACACTGGGGACCCATGTTAAAGTCAGTCCTACTGCGATGACCGATTTGGTTCTGGCTTTGTGCTTTTCAACGTCCTTTGACATTTCTCGGCTCTGTAGGATTGGATTGATCCTGGCGTTAGATTGCATCAGTCGCACCCGGGCTATCCCCAGCCACTGACTTCGAATTTGGTTAGCCAGAGACAGTCTAGGTAGCATAAATGAAGCAGCGGTTAGGTGCCCCCCTGGTAAGGGACATGCAGGTGCACACACACCTATCGAAGTTATTTGTTTGCTCTCCCAGCCCCTCCTGCCTTTTCCCAGCAGTAAAGTCAGAATACTGGGATGCAGGGGATCAAACCCCGGACACAGCCTGGAACCCAACCCTGGCCATCACGGACCTACTTCTGCCAGGCGTGAGAGCCCTCCACGCTTGTATACCTAGTCATGCCAGCGAAGTCCAGTCATATTGGAGCATACATAACATTGTTCCCGCTCCCATTGCAAAGACTGTGATGTCCTAAGGATTGCATTGTCCCGGCACGGCAAGGGAGAGAACCCATTAAAAGATAAGGAGGTGACAACTAGAAATGTAGTGTCTAGCAGTTACTGAACAGGACTAGGTGTCAGGACGCCTGGATTCCATTCCTGGCTTTGTCTTTTAGACCGGAGCTTTCGAAGGTATGCTGACTTTGAGTCACTGAATTCTGGGGAGAAAGACAGCCTGCTTTTAAGAGGCATGGGATTTGCCTGGCTCCCACTGAAGTCACTTGGGATTCTTGGACACTTGGCCCCACTGAAAATCAGACCCAATTTGTCTCCAGTTAGACATCCTTGACAATATAAGCCTCCAGCTTTCTGCCTCAGTTTCCCCCCCTTAAAATAATTTCCTAGTGGCGCTGAGAGTCAGATTTAGTGTAAAATGCTTCGGGATCCAATGCTGCAGAAGGACAAAGTATTGTTACATGAAGGGACTGAAGGGCTTTTCCAGAGATGGAGGCTAATTATTACGGACCAAGACCTTGGCTTGTAGCCTGGGTTTATTATAGGCAAGGGAAGACAGAAAACTTTCTACCTATGTGGGGCTTGCAAGCAGAGCGTGAGGTCAGCAAAATTCTCCACTTCGTTGCCGCAGAAACAGCCTAACCCAGAGAGTTACTGGTAACTTTTTTAGTGCTTGAAGATGGACAAAAACCCAACCCCGCTGATTTGTTAAATGCCAGCTGAACAGTAGCTGCTGCTCGAATCAGGCTGTGCAAATGGAAAAGAGCTGTTTTCTCCTGTGCGAAGGCTGGAACAATTCTTACCATTCATTTTGTGTCCCATTCTACCCATGCACTTACAAGATCACCAGACAGGCTAGGAGGGGGGAGCTTTAGGTCCTCCAAACCCCTTAATTGACCTAAGAAGAATCTAAATCCCACAAGGAACTAGGCCAGAATTCCCCCCGAGAGGGGTTGATGAGCCCTGAAGCCAGCTGGTGGAATCTGAGTCAAGATTTTCAGAAGTGATGGGTGATTTGGGGTGTTTCAGTTTTTGGGGTGCCCCGGCTGAGCACTGAGTACCCACCCTCTGAAAAATCGGGCCCTTTTTTAGGCTGTCCCAAGTTGAGCAGCCAAAATCACTAGTCACTGGGCCGCGGATCTGGTTGAGACTGTAAGCCAAAGGGTGCAATGTATCTCAGGCATGGAAGCGCGGGTCAGTATGGCCAACAGAATTTTCCCCTCTAAGCTTTGGTAGCCTGCTTTACTAGCCTTTCCAACTCCAGGCACTCCGCACCTACTAGAAATTTGCCTTGAATCCCAGCTGTGCTGGGTGGGAGAAGTTTACATACCGAGATGGACGGACAGACAGACACGCACGCACGCGGACGGACACACAGACACAAAGGTGGATTCTGCTAGCACGGGCATGTCACTGCACTAGCGGGGCAGGAGGCTGGCTTACTGCTCCTGGGCCCTGCGGAGGGAGGCAGAGCTGCTCCTGGGAGCCTGGAGAGTGAACCCCCCCCCCCACCCCCAGCAAGGCCATTACCTGCTTTTCTCAGGTTCTTGTTCTTGAAGACTGAGACAATCACCAGGAGGTTGCCCAGGATGTCCACAGTGATGGTGATGATGAGGATGACAGCCAGCGTGATCACCACCCAGGTGGGGTAGAGACCATCCTCCCTTCCCAAGCCAGCAGACAGGTTCTTCAGCCGAGAACCTTCCTCCTCCATCCTCGGTCATCTAACCTGCCTCTCAGGGGGGCGCAGAGTCCTCAGCCAGTCAGGACTAGCATTTCCAGTGGCCCTGAGCCAAGAGGTCAGGGCTCAACCAAGGCAAGGGTCAGTGCCCCTCTCAAAGCACCAGGAGAGGCGCATGGGCCGCTCCCGGAGAAGTTCCTTGGAAGTGTGGCTTGCTCCGGAGTCCGCCGTGGCAGGCTCTCGCCTTTGTCCCTGTCCGCAGGCCTTGCGGGGAGGTGGGATTCCCCGGCCGATCACCGCTTTGGGCACCCGGGCGGAGCTAAGAATTGCGCACACGCGTCTCTGCGACCGGCGCTGTGGCTGCTCGGCGGGGCGCTCTCTCCAAAGCACCGTGCCTGGGGGGGCGGACGGGGGCCGCTCCCCACACGCGTCCAGTGGCTCTAGTTGGGGAAGTCCCGCTCCCGCAGGCAGCGCTAGGAGCCCGGGGGAGCTCCCAGCTCAGCGCCGCCAGCCCCTTGTTGGGGGCGCTCCCTTCCCGGTGCCGCGCTCTGGGTGCCAAGCGCCGGGCACCTCTCCAGCCCCACTGATGCTCTTCCCACCTCGTTCATCCCTTCGGCTCCATTCAGCCCCGTCCCTGGGCTCCCTCGGCAGCCGGCGCTCCGCGCTCTCCCGTGCGCTCCTCGGAAAAGTTCCCGTTGGTGGGGGCAAACTTTGCAGCCTGCGGCAGAACCGGACACCCCCGCGGAGCCGTGCGCCACGCTTCCCCCGGGGCCCCGGCTGGCGGAGCCCTGCCGCTGCCCTGCTCCTTCCAGTCCCCCGTCTCCTGCAGCGACGCTTGGTCACGTTCTCCTCTTTGCCCTTGGCCCCTCCATCCCCTCTCCCAGCCCCCCCGACCTGCGGCTCTGGGCCAGGAGAGCCCCGTGTCTCCCAGTCCCCGTGAAGCACCTTCCGAGGCGCAGCCTCCGCACCGCAGCCGTCTCCTTCGCGCATTTATAGGCTAACCTGCCCCGGGTGCGCTGCTCGCTCCTGGTTAGGGGCTGGTAACTCCTCCCTGCCCGGGGCGGAGAGCAGCGGCGCACGGAGCCCCGCGGCTGTTCACGCCAGTTTTATCCAAGCTCTGGATGCGCGCAGGTGGGGAACGGGTCCCTGTGGTGCGAGGGGAAGGCAAGGAGCCCTGCAGGCCGCTGGTCACAGTCACTCAGCCCCTTACAGCGAGGCGAGCTATGCCCCCTGTCCGACCCGGTACAATGAGCCCACTAGCAAAGGAGCCACCGTGAACAATGTCTGAAGTGGGACCTCAATTCTGCCTCTGTTTTGGCCACTTGGTACCAGTCCCAGCATTGCGGGCATGGTCGCTGTGGGAAGCCCAGCGCCAGGATTCCCAGTCTGATCTCCCACGAGTGTCTCTCTCCCTCTGCTCTTCCAGCCAGAGGGAGGCCAAGGCAAACATCACAGAGCAAACTGCCAAAACAGCACCCAGCCGCCCTGCGCCAATGTTCTCCATCCTACAGGTGCCAGGCTGGGATGCCTGGAGAGGACGGTGTGGTCATGGCATGCTGCTGCCCTGGGGGGGAAGGGGTGGCAGCTGTATGAGCCACTTGGTCTCGGGGCTCATCTACAGGGGGATGCTCAGGAAAGTTAGGGGAAATCAACCCACGGGGTGAGGTCAATGCACATGGGTTAACCCGCTCCCCCCCAGCAGTGGCGTGCTGTCTGCGTATGCAACACATGGCCCCAGGACCGGCTGTGCCTGCAGGATGATCCCTCCAGCCCCCAGACGTGTGCCGGAGGACGCCATTTTCTAGGACAACATGGCCTCCTCCACACAGCATGACTGGCATGCAACGTATGGGCAAGGAGGAGGCCATTTTGCATGCAAGTGTAGCATTGCATGCCGGGCGAAACGCCTCACGGCTCGCCGTTGCCCCCCAGTGCAGATGCTTTCGGGAGTGAAGTGGCCTTGCGAACTGGAGAGTTACGTTACAGTGAACTGAAAACATCCCCTGGGGTTTAAGGGGCCTTAATTCATGTGCGTTGCCTTCACATCAGTTGTAGTTGATTTGCCTCCACTTTCCTGAGTGTCCCCTCCCCATGTCGGTTTGGCCTCTGTGCTCTTCCAGCAGGAGTAGCACTCAGAAGGGGTGAGCAGAGGCGTGACCTTCCTTCCTTCACTAGGCACAAAGCGCTGAGTGTTAGTTTGAGGGCAGCGGGTTTTAGTTTGAGTGACAGACTTTGCCATCCAGGGCTCAGTTTTCATAGAATCATAGGACTGGAAGTAGGGTTACCATATTAAAGGTTTTTAAAAAGAGGACACTCCACGGGCCCTGGCCCCGGCCCTGCCCCAACTCCGCCCCCTCCCCTGAGCGCCCCGCATTCCCCCTCCTCCTCCCTCCCAGCCAAGCGAAAAGGGCTGCCCGAGCGCTACCGACTTCACGGTTTGCCGGGCAGCCCCCAGACCTCCAGACCCTGCCCCCGGCCGGGCATTTCCCCTCCTGGGCTCCGGCTGCGCTGGGGAAGCGCCCGGCCGGGGGCAGGGTCTGGAGGTCTGGGGGCTGGCCGGCAAACTGTGAAGCCGGTAGGACGCGGGCCGCACGGCT